GCGCAGGAGGGGAAGACCCTCTATGATGGATTGATTCGGTGACTGGGGTAATCGGGATGGGTGTGTCAGAGGTGGTGCAGTTGGCGCAGGATTGAGCAGGGTTTAGAGCTATTGTGCATAGGGTCGCTATGAGTCGGAAATGACTCGATGGCACATAACAACAACAACAACAGTCCTAAAAGAGATGCAAATCAAAACAGCTACGAGATATCATGTCACCCCAGTCACAATAGAAAAATTCAACAGAGCAGCAAACAACAAATGCTGGTGAGGTTGTGGAGAAATTGGAACCTTTATGCACTGTTGGTGGGAGTGTAAAATGGTGCAAACACTCTGGAAGGCAGTATGGCAACTTTCTCAAAAAGCTGGAAATAGAAATACCATTTGACCCAGCAATTGCACTACTGGGAATATGCACTAAAGAGAAATCAGAACTGTCACCCAAACAGATATATGCACACTGATGTTCATTACTGCACTGTTCACAATGCCAAAGAGATGGAAGCAACCCAAGTGTCCATCAACAAATGAATGGAGAAGCTGTGGTATATTCACCAATGGAATACTACACAGACATGAAAAACAAGGAACTCATAAAATATGACACAAAATGGGTGACCCTCAAGGACGTTATGCTGAGTGAAATATCTCAATCACAAAAGAACAAATGCTGCATAATGCCACTGTTACACAACAGGACTGACATAGGGGTTGGGGGAAAACTAAGAAAAGAGGGGATAAGTAATGAACACTGTATTGAAACAGAAGACGGAAAGAATTGTTTAAAAGAAATATATGAGGGAGCTCTGGTGGCCTAGTGGCAAGAAGCTGTGCTGTAATCCCAAAGGTGCATGGTTCAAATCCACCAGATGCTCCATTGGAGAAGGAGGGACAATCTCCTCCTGTACCAATCGAATCTGACTTGATGGTACACAAAAAGAAAAAAAATAATTAAAAGAAATATATTATTAGGTATTATTTATTCATACGACAACAGTTCAGAATAAGAGCTGCATAGTAAAGTGGACTGGGGGCAAGCGGAGAAAGGAAATTGTGCAACAATGAAAGAATCTTTTTAAAGAGAAAAGCAAACTGGAGGTGGGAGTAGGGAGGAAATGTGCA